CACCCGACCCACTCAACAAGGTCTGTAATTAGTCAATGATGTGTTTGGTAGGTGAAGTTTTTTTAAAAAAGTACATAATCGGCAATGAATGGAATGCTTAACCTTACAAATATAAATTTATCAAAATAAAAGTTAATTACAATAACAGGTGCATTTAGAATCAAAAGTACCACTACACTTCCAAATTGATTAGCTTCTCAAAACCAATGGCTCCTGTCCCACCTCCAAAAAAAAAGAAACAAAAGATTCTGTCACTTGTGACAAGAAGTCTGTGACTCCAGGGAGTGACAGTCAGTCTTCTGGCAATACTTGCTTGGTTATCTCGCACCCTATTGCTTAAAAAATGGAGACCAGATACAAACTCAGTGACCTTTGGTTTATTTGTGCTTTTCACTTCTTTCAATATTCGATAAGTGGTTATCCCAAACTCAACCTTGAGAATCTTTCCGAAATCTTTTGATTTGTGCCTCGTGTCCCGATCTCCTCCCCCGCCCCCACCAATCCGGAATTTTTTCAAGTCGACCATTTCAATTTGAATGCCTTGATAGATATCGCTCGTCTCATTCCGTGGTCATTACACAGTAGATAATGTGTAAGGGTCAGTTAGTCTTTCGAAAAGCCTTTGCGGCTTTAGATACTGGTGGTCCCGTCACGAAGGACGACCTTGTGCTCTCTTCCTCCCGCTCTTCGCGCTCTTGTTTCTAACGTCGTAGACATGTTTCCCGCTCCAAGCTCAGGCTTTGCAGCTCGACTTGTAAGCAAGTTTAAGGGCCACGGGCCCCTTTCACGAAAGTCCCGGCAGAGGTTAACGGTCCCGAAAAGCTGTTTTTGTGTTTACCGTGTTTGCGTTCAAGATCTATTGTAGATATATTTATAGTTTTGAAATTCAAACGTTAAAAAATATTAGTAAAACGAAATAGTATGGACTGGTTTTTGAGCTAGACCCCGAGCTACTATTCCTTAGATTTAGACCTTAATATATGGCTTCGGGTCCGTAAAGTTTCGGGGACGCAGGTCATTTTGCAGGCTTTATCCGTGCAGTACGAATTACGAATACAATAAGTGAAGCAGTTTCCCCGATAAAATGGCGGATTACAGAACGCGCGCAGATGACTGAATCAAACAACACGGNAAACAAAAGATTCTGTCACTTGTGACAAGAAGTCTGTGACTCCAGGGAGTGACAGTCAGTCTTCTGGCAATACTTGCTTGGTTATCTCGCACCCTATTGCTTAAAAAATGGAGACCAGATACAAACTCAGTGACCTTTGGTTTATTTGTGCTTTTCACTTCTTTCAATATTCGATAAGTGGTTATCCCAAACTCAACCTTGAGAATCTTTCCGAAATCTTTTGATTTGTGCCTCGTGTCCCGATCTCCTCCCCCGCCCCCACCAATCCGGAATTTTTTCAAGTCGACCATTTCAATTTGAATGCCTTGATAGATATCGCTCGTCTCATTCCGTGGTCATTACACAGTAGATAATGTGTAAGGGTCAGTTAGTCTTTCGAAAAGCCTTTGCGGCTTTAGATACTGGTGGTCCCGTCACGAAGGACGACCTTGTGCTCTCTTCCTCCCGCTCTTCGCGCTCTTGTTTCTAACGTCGTAGACATGTTTCCCGCTCCAAGCTCAGGTTTTGCAGCTCGACTTGTAAGCAAGTTTAAGGGCCACGGGCCCCTTTCACGAAAGTCCCGGCAGAGGTTAGCGGTCCCGAAAAGCTGTTTTTGTGTTTTCCGTGTTTGCGTTCAAGATCTATTGTAGATATATTTATAGTTTTGAAATTCAAACGTTAAAAAATACTAGTAAAACGAAATAGAATGGACTGGTTTTTAAGCTAGACCCCGAGCTACTGTTCCTTAGATTTAGACCTTAATATATGGCTTCGGGTCCGTAAAGTTTCGGGGACGTTCGAGAAAGGGGCCCCAGGTCATTTTGCAGGCTTTATCCGTGCAGTACGAATTACGAATACAATAAGTGAAGCAGTTTCCCCGATAAAATGGCGGATTACAGAACGCGCGCAGATGACTGAATCAAACAACACGGACTAGTACGCTACCAAAGTGCTAATCACAGTTTTGTTGAAGTTGAATTTAATATTTGCAGAATGGTTATCCCAGTGCAAACAGTTAGGCTTGAGAACTTAAATCCAGGAGATTTCATGTCTCTCTACACAAACAGACGCACACACACAGTGGTTTTCCAAGTATCAAGTCAATACTTTAATGTTTTTTTTCCGGGATTTTACGTCACTAGTACATATTCTTATCGCTTATCATTTTTTGTCAATTTATTTTAGAAAAATAAAAAGATCGGTATCTATTAATTATAGACAGCCCCACAGAAATTGCGGTAACACTATTGCGCGGAGAAAGCGGAAATCACATTTGACCATAAGGTTTGCTACCAAAGGAAGCCGAAGGAGGCGGATATTACATATCTGCGAGATATTACTGAGATTTGTAAAGTGGGATTTAAGTTTAATGGCGATAAAAGGGGTAGACTGTAATGCCACTTATATTGTTTTCGTAGTATTACTGTAAACATTTGAATCTTCCTTTATTAACAGCTAATGGGTTAAACGCCATTAACATGTCCGCATTGTGGTTAATAATTAGTTTTCGAGGTTTCGCGCTAATGTTTTGTAGCCGCGGGTTTGTACTAGTTTCAGATTGTTAGGTGACAGTTATTTTTCTACCAGAAAAACCTTAACAACTTGCTAACAGGGAATGACAACAAATCTTCGTTTAGCTTTCAGATGTTTGGTCCTAATACAGAAAGTACTTAATAGCAGGAGTTATCTGATTTTCGTAAAGTGGTTGATTTGGTTCAATCAAGATTTCCTGAGTTTGGCCATTACGAAAGTCCTTAATTACGACCAGAAATGTAAAGGTGGTCAAGGATTTTATTGCGATAATAATGCGCTATCAGATAAGAAATTATACTGGAAACGTATTTTTTATTTTCAGTTTATTCCTACTGTGATCGGAAGCTCTATACACGAAAAGGTGTTCTAACCGAGATGAAATTTTCTATCATTTCCTTTGGAAGGGAGTTTTAGTCAACAATGAAAAGCCTATCTTCGAAATTTTCTTACTTGTTATGAATTTTATTCGAATCTTGTTTAAACAGGGTGTACTAAACAATCGCTGGTAACCAAATATAATAAAATTTTCTGAAAGAAATGGGTTATTTTGTTGACACTGTTCCCTAAATCACACGGAAATTGAGCTACGTTTGTATTGGTCTTCGAGCAAGTGAAAAGGCCGATTTCCTACACACGTCAGATTTTGAGAAAGGAATTCCTAGCGACATTTACACAGATTAAACAAGAAATTTTATTTGTTTAAACTCAATAAGCCTACGTGGTCGTATTAGAAATCGTCCTCGCCAAATGCACACTGTATAAAAAATAATAATAAAAAATAATAATAAATTGAAAATGTTTTGCGGTCAGCTATGTTAGCTCCGATTCATCAACCACGCAGTTTCGTTTTGTTTCGTTTTATTTAAGAGAAATGGAAAACAAAACCTGGTCTGAACAAAACAAAGTCCTGTTATTGAAATAGAGGGTATTTATAGATCAAATTTAACTTGATTAACTTGGTTACATGGTCCATATCGTATTCAAATTCGTATTGATGTGGTAACAGTTTGTGGGCCGAAAGAAGGGAGCGTAATTGACAAAATGCAAAATATGGACTAGACAGGCGGCTTTGCCCCCGGGATAAATTACCAACATGTATATTGATCTCCTTCTTTGGCCGTTTTTTTGTAGTTTTAACACTATCCTATTACAAATCACACGGTTAATATTTCCTTTCTCAGTTTCTATCGTAGTATCAACGGGTGTTTTATGAAAAAGATTTGTCGCGTATTCGATTTTACCCCGTGCTAAGTGTGTAAACTTTCGTAATTTTCATTTGTCATAGATCCCTATAGCAAAGGGCACGAAAAGGGGAAAGAAATAAAGTTCAAGTAAAAACAACTTGGGTCGAGTACAACTACACTTAATAAACTGTGATTAACGGCAAAGTTACAGACTGAAACTGGGATTCGGTTCGGGTAAGGTTCTGATGGAAAAACGATATTTTTTTCTCAACGGAAATGTCGTTAGCAAAACAACACTGTTTCATAAAAAAATCCATGTATTTTGTTTTGGGAGAATCGATGCATTAAAATCCTTGTTTCGAATTTTCTTTTGCTAGAGCAACTTTATACGGTTTACAGATACTCTAAAAGTTTGTGGCGATGGCGAACGTTGTAGTGATGTTTCAACAGTTATTGCTGTTCCATTCCTGTCTGAAGCGAGTCTTGGATCGTCTTGGCTTCGAGTGAACGTGATGCGGAGATCTTTATTTCCCTGTCGAGTTGATTTTTTGTGGCCATACCACTGCGCCTTGCAAAATCCACGAGTCCTGATCCACAGGCGCAAAGCATGCCTGAAATCACGTTTGCAGAACGCGCAGAACGCTGGATTAGACATTGGTGGAATAAAACGCAAGAAAGGGAACAGACACAATCCCCAAGAATGAATTGGAATAATTTTCACACTGATGTGATCTTGAAGTATCATAAGATAGGAAGGCAACCAACAACCAGCGAACACCACCAGCATGGAAATGACAATCACTGTTCCTCGCAAGTCGCGCGCAATCGAATTAACAGGTCCGTCGCCCAAGTTGGCACGACGCGCTCGCGACGCGAAAACAAGGCGGAGAGACATAATGAGAATGCGGCTGTAACTACACAGCATGCAAAACAGAGGCAATGCGAAGAACGCTACCACTAAAAATACTATGTACACTTCGTCTTGGCGTTTTGTCTCTCCTAAGTCTTCATTAAGGTCGTACCAAGCCATCTGCACCACTGACACAATGGGGGAGATAAACCACACGGCAGTAAGTGTGCACCCGACTCGCGTTCTCGTTACGATTGTGTGGTAGTGCATGGGATGAGTTATCATAGCATAGCGATCACATGCGACTAGGACGAAATGGAGCATTGTTGAAACGGCTGTAAAACGCATAAAAAGGGCGGACGAGATACACGTGATTAACGACATCGACCTGGCAATGGCACAAGCAAAAAGCAGCGGAATACCCACAAACCCTGACAATAAGTCTGACACGGCCAGTGAAACAAGGAGAATGTTGCTCAGTGTGCGTAACGTCTCTTTCCAGCACATTAAAGCTATCACGACACTGTTAGAGGCGATGATCAGCGCGCAAAATACCATCAATGGGCCGTGTACAATCCAGGAAAAACGGCCGCCGCACATGGACCTTTGAACGAGTTGTGTGGCATTGTGACTTGAAACGTTCTCGTTGAAAACCGACGTGACATTCATGTTTCCTCCGCTCGGTAGAGCCGTCTTAAGTTGCGCTGTTATGGGCGCGATCGGTGTGTATATACATAAATCTTATCTGCCACCATAGTTTAAATAGACAGGATGTATAAATATTCAAATGTACAGAGCGCATTACCATGGATATTAGGTTGCGATGGAGCAGTAAATTGGTATTCTGAGTGTTCCTTTGCTAATTGAGAGAGTGGCATGATGTTTGGTGTCACTTACCATGTTGCGCGTCTGTAATGTTGCCTTGCCTGAGGTATTGTTACTATTTTTTTTCATCTATTACCCATAGCAAGTAACTACTCTCCATATCTACTTCCTGTGGACTGTTTTTGAGTCATTAAGGCACGCCCAAACCGGTGCCATAGAAGCGACATTTAATGGCACAGTGATTCGTTTAATAGTATTAAGGCCTCAATGCTGACACGTAATAACTCCAATGGTGGCTATTGTTATAGTAAACGCGGCAATCAAGAGAGCAATTAGCGCAAAAGTTCCTGATCAGGAGGTGTCTGTTGTCATAGAAATAAACTGAGTAAAACAGATGGTAGAAGGGTAATATGCCAACCTGTGAAGAATGAAGATATAATCTTGAATTGAATTTTGCCACTTAATAGTGCGCAAAGCTCTAATTTTTCGCCAGTTCGGTTTCATCATAATAGGCGAGCAAATCGGAAACAAACATCAATATCGTCCTTTTATTTTCATAGTATTAATATTGTAGCAGGAAGTGAACGTCCATTGGTTTCATCAATGCTTGCTATGCGGGGGAATAAGAGGTTTCTATTTATTATCAAAATGCAAAGACCTTTTGACGTGTTTTGAGCTGCTGGGCATGTCGTACGTGGTTTGTGTGAGGTAACTGGCAGGTGTTCTTGTCATGCCCACTTTTCCTTTGGTTTGACAAAACCCACGATAGAGTATTCAATTTCGAAAGCTTAGACTACGGAATATGACGAAAATTCGCTCTTAGGAAGTCAATAGGCGTGAATGAAGAGATCCTTTCCTAAAGCACGTCCAGTCACAAATTCGAGTTTGACACTTGGGAAACATTAGAATGAACCATAAACGGTCAACATCGCATTGAGATTTTTTTCACCTTCGTTCGTTTTGGGAGATTTGATCGTTTTGAATTAAATTTAAGGTCCGCAAACATCCATTCTAGACCTTGATAAACTACTATAAAATGCACAAAAGCAATGAAAAATAGAAGAAAACGGAAGAGCGAAAAAAAAAAATTAAATTCAAAAACGAATCCAAAAATATATCAGAAGTTTATTTGCGTGAAGTCAGTGGCGGGTTACAACACTTAATTCTTCTGACGCAAGTTGAGAACTTGATCAGATCCTTCACATTCATGATGTTTTTTAGAATGCTGAAAGATGAATTGAAAATAAAACCTATTGTATCTATTATCTGAAAGAACCGTGGTACAAACCATAATAATGAAAATCATGAAATGAAACAAAGGTCCTCGTAGCGTATAGGAAGTTAGTTACAATTTAGCTGACATATTTGCTTTTGAAACGAGTGTTGTTTTAAGAACGTCTTATCACAAGAACCTCGACGAAAGCGGAACGCTACTTTAACCAGCTTTCTCTTGCAAGAATTCTTCTGACGAAAATTGCGCGATTCCATAGTATCAAATGTCTATAAAAATCGACGCCGGATCTTTGATTGAAGTCCATAGTTTTCACGTAATTCTTTATCGTTTATAATCTCTTCGCGGGGAAAAAAGGAAAGGAAAAAGGAGATCAGGGTGTCTTCCTAAGGTTTTCAAACAGCAGTAAACAGAACTAGGGATTTTATCTCAGCATCATTTAGATACTAAAGAACATTTGTATTGACTAAAAAAAGACTTTAAAAAGCTCACCTTGACATCTATTCCTAACTCGTTAATGGTCCCAGTAATGCGCAGTAAAATATCCACTGAAAGCTGATAGTGCACATAATATCTACACTATCAGCTTTCAGTAGACATCATATTATAATACCCGCTCAATTCTCTGTCAGATATCAATATCAAACAGCTGCATTTCAGCTGCCTCCTCCACAGGCTCTTTTTATTTTTATCTTAGCGCAAAGGGCGATTGGGAGACTTGGAGTGAGCAAGAAAACGCGAGCGGAAGCTGGTAGCGAGTGAGGAACGCGATCGCGGGAAGCGATGGGAAAAAGTTTTTTCGCTGTCAAAAAAAAACCCATAAACACCGGATCAATGTGGCGCTAACATGTACACGGGTATTTGTACGCAAGCGTTATCTATAGCGAACAGCGCTTAGCCCGTTAAATCTGTGAGCCCCGCTTACATTGCACATTTTCTAGCGCAGGATTTCAGTCATGTCCTACACGTATTTCTTGTCGGTGTTTTGTAGTTCACGCCCTAAAGTAGAAGCGTACTTTGAGCTTCAAAGGTTTAGTATAAAATAAGTTCCATCTTTGTATCTTGTACTTTAATGCTGACGAAGTCTCAGCAGCAGACGAAACCGGTCGATTAATAAACTCAGTTGTACAAGATTATTAGTTGTTGCTGCGTGCTGCCTACAAGTACTTTTACTTTGAAATTAACAATTCCGGCAACACGCCTGATGCTCCAGATATAATTATGCCCGCATAATCTGTCAGACCCAAAAGCTTACAACTAGTTTTTACAATGATTTAAAATAATGTTTTGAAGGAAAACTTTCGTTTTTTTTTGTTTTTTTTGCTGCCTTCAATTTCGGAGGAATAATCACGATATAATAGCTGATCGTGGCTAAGTTTTAATCAGAAGGGAAGCGAAATACGGAGGATTTAAGTTAAAGTTAGCTCAGTTAATCCTGTTTCCCGAGACAGTGCGACATGATGTGCTTTCTGGCCTTTGATCGTGTGAAACAGTAGTCATCGCTATTCAGAAGAAGCATGCAGTGCCTACGCAACAGGGGCTCAATGACAAGGCCTACCAGCGAGGCAGTGAATGTGCCCCCTCCCATGGCCACCACGATGTACCCCATGGCAAACTCCTTGTAACGGTCCTCGAATCTGTCCCTGAAAAAGGCCAATGCGTTGACGAAGAAAACGCCAATCGTTACTCCACCGGTGAACGACAGCAGCAACACGGTCCACACACTCGGTAAAAATCGGTACCAGGCCGCCAGGACGAAGAACAGAAGATGCATGACTTCTATTGTGGAGAGAACCCAAAGATACGGGAATTTAGCTTTTTCTGCCCATTCTGGTTTGATATAGGATAATGCCACATGATATGACCTTCCTACCACCTCACCCCCCAGGAAAACGAAGATGTAGTACTGATAGTGGTCACGTGGTCTGAAAGGCGCATTGGGAAATGCGAGTGTTGTGATAACTGATTGGATGATCATATATTCTGAGAACCATGCGATATAAATCGGTATCAGACCAGGCAGCATCTGACGAATGACCATGAACTTTTCCCGGCAAGAGAGGGCACCATCGCCTTTGCTGCTTTCCTTGGTTGATTCTTGAGTTTCTACGCGATCTGTTGAGAAATATATTCAACAAATACAAGTCAAGAAGACGGTCAGTAGCGCAACAGTATTGAAATAAAATAATAATAATAGTATTGAAAACAAACTCGTTCCCAGGCTCTATCTCCTCTGCCTAGCTAGGGAACGATGAAAAAGGACAGTTGAAAGTTGCTCATGTTTTCCAATTGTATAATGACATACGCTATTTTAAACAGAGTTCGTGTCAAAGCTTTTGCTGGTGATTATATCTTATTTTCTCTTAACCTTATAACAAATCATGGGATAAAAGTCATGAGATTTAAGGTTCTCATCATGTCAGGAAAGACTGATTTAAAACAAAATTTTCTACGACATAGTTAAATAAAAAAAATCATTTTTGGTCAAAGCAACACACTAAATAGCCCGTTGGCTTTCAATTTAATCATGACCCTTAATTTTTACCTGTGGTGTCCAGCGCACTGTACTCTACTCCGGCATGCTCATCCCTTGGAGGACTGGCCTCCAAATGCTTCTTGTCCATGGCGTAGTAGCAAACAAAAATCAGGAGTAACATGGCCGCCATGATTAAAATGGTGGCATTTGGTGAAACACAGGCCCATGTTGTCATGGCTACAAAACAAGAATAATAAAAACTTCAATTAGCGTCTTTCCAAATCGGTATAGAACTTGAATATTGCCGAACATCGAATATATAATGGGAGTGAAAATAAAAATATCGAGCCTGATGCAGATACAGAGACCGATAGATAAGCTAAGGATGTTCCGTTTAAAGCAATCAAGGTCTTGGTAAGTGTTACCAGGCCCTTCTGCGATGATCGCTCAGGCCCAGTCCGCACTACGCCGGTGAAATTTGAAAGCCTTCTACAATAACCGGTGATTTTTGGATTTGTGTTTGAGGAAACCTCGGTCAGGGAAATCACATTATTATCGTGACGTCATCGTTTTCAAAAAGCTCCGTTTTCAAAATGTTTTCCGTCCACGCTAAAACGCAAGACCGGCGTTTTCAAATTCCTCCGGTTTAAAGAGCGTTTTCGTGACGACGGATTAGTGTGGACGGTAGGCCTAACCGTAGAAAAAAAAAAGCTGCGTTTTCAAATTCCTCCGGCGTAGTGTGGACGCTGCCTTTTAGTTTGTATTCTGCTGGAAACCGACGTCCAATCTGATTGGTTGATTCATCAGACTTGAAATCACTCACTATTCAATGATAGGTCACGTACGATGATGCACGCTTTACCCTTGAAAGAAAAGTTATTTTTTAGGCTACCAAATGCTTAAATTTTCTATTTCTGACAGCTATTCTTTACAGTGTCTACTACGCTAGCAATTACGCTGCTTTCGTTCTCTATGAGCTCGAGCGTCGGTCTCATAAAAATACTTGACCTCGTAGATATTTGCTAAATAATCTCACCCCTGTTTACATTATTATCATAATTCGTGTGTTATTCCAATATTTTATTTTTGTTTCTCGTCACAATTTGATCTCCTAGTCACACAACTACAAAAAGACACGAGTAGCAAAATATCCAAATGGACTGCCGGAAACCAAACCGCAGAGGAAGTCAATTGTTTTCTGCTTTTAACTACTTTTCTTATATTATTAATTGCGCTTTACCGATCGTCATGCATTTTAATTTTATTTATGAGAATGTGATTTGCAGTAAGAGCTACATATTCTCATCACTCATGTACTTGACATGGAATAATATTATACGGAGAATTTGGCTGTTGATCAGTCTTGGAATACAGGCAACAGCTGCTCGGTTTGACTGTGCTATTCTTCAGTTCCCGGAAGTGTGAAATAAAATATTAATCAAGAGAAATGTGAATTTTAAATTGATAGTAAATATATTCTCTGTGGTATGGCGTTAAAAGGAATAACAAATTTCACTGAGTATTTTACCACACAGACTGTAACATTACAACTGAATAACAAATAAACACAAACTTACCTGTGTAATATAAGGGTGCTATCACAAACCCCGCCCCAGTGCCTGCTGAATAAGCGCTTACTGTGACCTCGTGATAAAACGAGGTGAGAGCGAGAAAAGTCACTTCACCGACGCCGTAACCAAACGAAGCTATCCCGACGCCAATTAATTTCCAATGAACTTGTTTAGAAAACGAGAGCATGAGAAAACCGCCGATTCCACATAGGAAAACTGTCATGATGCGGGCAAAATACGGAATCTTTTGCATGAAGTAAGGCGCGATTAACGTGACAAGAAAATACGGCCCGATGTCCGCGACGAGAACCATAGAAGTTTGAATAAATGTTCCTGCTAGTATATCTTGAGCACCAGCGATGACTAAGGAATATGTCGCGTAAATCAAACTTCCAAAGATAAAAAACGCTGTGACTGTGCGCAGCCGCTCACGTTCCTCTTGGTTCGGTTTGAAGCCACCATTGTTGATTGGCGTCAATGCAGTCCTGTTATCTGTGGCCATTTCAATATTTGGTCAGTTCATACTCGAGTAACGGTGAACGCGCGTTTGTAACCCGAACAATTCTTTGCTAAGAGCACGAAGTACAAGTCCGTTTGCTTCAAAATTTCACATTCTGCGATCTCGTTTTTGGTAGAACAACTTCTGTCAGGGTTTTCTTTCAGTAGAGACGACAGCTGGCTTTCACATGCTGGTTTTCAAAAAGCCATAAAGAAGGAAACTCAAACAAGGAGAGCTAGACTGATCTATTCTGCTGGCTGATATCTTCTTAATTTGTCCTGGTAGGTTTTGTTAGAATGAAGGTTTAAGTCATCGAAGGTAAAGTTCGAACGAGAAAAAAGTATTTTTGGTACAAACTGGAAGAGGCGCGCGAACGAATTATTGATGAAGTTTTAATTGCTTTCGAATCAGCACATTTGCATTTCACTATTTGGTAAACCAATCAAACTTCGTGTTGTGATTATTAAGAAAAGTTATTTCTCCTAGTCGAGAAAGCTCACACTTGAAAGGGGTAAACATGCAATGCGAAAAGTTGTTCCTAAGTGATACGAATGGCTAAGAATAACATTGTTGTGCTCCTCATCGGCTTTAAGAACAAGATCTTTTTGGCCAAGTTTGAATTCGAAGGCAATTTTTGACAGAGAGGCAAATAAAGTAATCACTTTGAAATCGCGATACTGACAGACTGAATCACGATTATTACAGTTTGTTGTAAACCACCCCCGGAAGATTCGGAGGTTTATAAGAGTTGAAGATTACACGTTAACTCAAACTACCGAGAAAAAAAAAAAAAATAAGAAAAACGTAATCACTTTAATTAGGACAACTGAAGCCATACTGGTTGACATACAATTCTCTTCCCCAGTCCTCCACCAACAATATATGTTTGTTCTTGGTTTGCATTTCAGCCAAAAAACGCAAAAAATAATTTTAAGACTTGTCATATTTTATGAATTAAGTTTGGAGAGCGGTCAAAAGTCTTGTTATTATTGATATGAATTCAACACAAAGCGAAATTCAAATTTCACGAAATAGAAAATGCTTGAGAGGTTAGCCTCTTCAAAAATTAAAATTTGGTTGTGCGAAGATTCTATTAGCTATTCTTATATGATCAGGGATTTCTTCGGTGTTTAGACTGAGTTTTCGTAATCTTACATTTCGTGATCTCGTAAATTTAGTAACTGAATATCCACTAACCACAATAGTTCTCTCTCGAACGATCTCAACGGAAATGTTCTGGAGAAAATAAGTTCATTTCATAGCCCAAACAGTTGTTTAAAACAACTGATGTCCCATTTGAACAAGATGCTCCACTTGCGTATCACTTGATTGAAAGATATGTAATCTTTTTTATTCTTTTTAGCTTCTCTAGTCCAGCCAGCAACTGTTATTATATCTACATTATTTTTCTAAACGGTCATATGCAAACTTTAGACCTAAGGAAATGCCTAGTGGCATAACTAGTTTGTTACACGGGAAGTAATGTATGTAACGTGGCGATGTAATGTAAAGTGTTTTAAGTGATTCACCATAACGAGCCAGACGTTCTTAGCAACCAAAAAACAGACCTGGGATCCCGTGGAGATGTAGAACTTTTAGT